AAAGTTAAATGACCAAAATTATGTAAAACATTAAAGTTGATGACAAAAATGAAATTTACCCTTTTTTAAATTTAAATTGAGTTGTGCGACCAATTTTCGTTTACCAACCAATATACCGAAATATCAGTCGGTACATCAAAATATCAGTTGGTACGTCGAAATTTGACCATAGTGATCAAAATTTGACCAAAATGAAATTAGATCACATACCATTTCGATTTAATACAAAAATTGATACATACCAACTATACCGACCGGTACAATAAGGTGTAACTCCCTTTGACAAAAGTATAAGTAATGACAATACATTTTCTCAGTGCCCAACTTGGGGTATGGAATGTAATTTCTATGTACCTTTAATCTTATGATAGAGACCAAATGCTTATCTTGGCAGCGATCCTATGCCTAACAAATTGGTACATATTCTTTTCTTATTGTATCCTTTATGAATAAATGCCCCGAATTTATCTTTGGAATCAGATGCTAAATTAGGACGGGTCTAAGGATCATGAACAAATTAAAGTGGTCAAATAGTAGTTGAGCAATTTTCTTTCTTTTCTCTGTTCCTGTAGAAATGAGTCCAAGGCTTGTTTAGTTCGGACATTTGTTTTCTCTAATCAGATGAATGAAGGTGTTTCGAGTATTCGTTATGAACTTAACAGTTCAACGTCTAATCTTGTTTGATCATCAGAAATAATAACTTCCAAGAAATTATAGGTAACTAACTGACTGTACATACTGCTATGATGATTCATAATTCCTATGGAAGTGAATCTAATTACGTTTGATAATCATGATAAATCTTTCCCCGCCACCATTTCTCACCCTGTCAAAAGTCTATGATGATGCAAACCCAAAATTTTTTTCTACTTCGAAAATAAAAGAGCCTACGGCTACAAGTACAGTACAGGTAGCTTTGTGTTTTTCACTACAGCCCCATAACCATAAACGTTATAATTTATACTAGCGTGTTTTTAGCTCTGCCTTTAAAGCTTTAACGTCCTAGAGAGTGACGTTTGTGGATTCAAAAGGTGAGGGAAGAACACATGGCGATCTTTGATATGCATGTGTCATCTGCTTTTGTTGACGGTTCATTTGGACACCACTTTTTCTGGGTTTGCTTGGTCCACCATTTTGTTTTTATTGTTTTCTTCTTCTTTTTGTGGTCTGTATAGAGTATGTAGAGAGTAGACCACTCCGCTAACTAATAATCTTTCCCTTTCACTGAAGCACGTTCTGGGGTTGGTAAAATAGGTGCGCTTTTATTCTTGTCTGGAGATGGGTTTTCTTCTAGAGCCCTGAATTCTGTGTTTTTTTTTTTTTTTTTAATTTTGTGATTTGATGGATATAGTGCAGGTTTTCAAACATAAAATATTGTATTGTATGAGAAGTGGCTGTGTGGCTTGTTTTGAGATTTCAAGAGATGAAATTTGTTAACTTTTTTGTGTGTTCGAAATTTGTTTCCAAAAAATCATTTTTCTTTTGAGTCTTTGAATTAGGTAGATGGTGTTATTTATATGGGTTTTGAGTAATCAAAGCTGCTGAGGTTTCTTGACCCTCCCTTAATCCCACCTTCTCTAGCTGTATAACATCATTTCTTTTCGTTTGGACTATGAAACATAGATCTTGTTTTAGTTGTTAGTGTTGAGGTTTCAAAGAGATCTTTGAGGTAAAAAAGAAAAAAAAGGGGGGGAATTTTGTGGATTTTACAGTGAAAGGTGTGAGGCATGCCTTAGCTTTGAAAATTCTGAGCTGATATAATACATTTACTCAAAGTATATATATATTTTTTTATTTTTTGTCGGACTCAAATTGGCAATTTTGTTTCCAGTTGCTCAAGGAATTAGAATTAACTGATAAAATCTGGAGGGTGCAGAGAATCTGCGAGAGTTTTAGTAATATGTTCATCATGGAACCATTGGTTTGATTAATTCTTTATCCTGTGAAGAACCCTGCAAATTGGCCTTCTAAGATGATGAGTCAAGAAGATGATCCATCTCCATCTGGGCAAAAGAAGAGAACTCCCATGTGCATTTTCTTTAAGGATGCCAGGTATGTTTCCAAAATCCCACTTTGCATATGTTTAGTTTACTGGTAGTTCGTATATATCATGGTGTCTGAACATACTGTATGAGCGAAGAGTTTAAGAGATGATATATGCTTTGATATACTGTGAGCAGGCATGTCTTTAAATTGGATGAACTTGGACTGGAGATTGCACAAATTGCACTGCCCGCAGCACTAGCTTTAACGGCCGACCCAATTGCTTCTCTGGTTGACACAGCATTTATTGGCCAAATAGGTATGTCTGCTTAATTTCTCTTCCTTGTTTTTATGTGTGTTGCGTTGGGGTGGCAGGAAATCAGAATTTTAATTGGTTTGGCCATCTTGTCCTACAGGCCCTGTAGAACTTGCTGCTGTAGGTGTTTCTATTGCCCTGTTCAATCAAGTATCCAGAATTGCAATATTCCCTCTTGTCAGTGTCACAACCTCTTTCGTGGCTGAGGAAGATACTATTAGAAGAGGGAGTACTGAGATGCTAGATAGTGAATGCTTAGAAGATGGTTCATGTTTAAATGGTGAAACTAAGAAGTTAATGCCAAAGAATGGTATGTCACCCGTTTACCTAGCATTCCCTCTCTCTCATTCCCTGCCCCACTTCACTATGGCTTTTACAAATGAAAGACACATTATTTCAGATCATTCTATCATTTTATTTTTAATGTGTAAATATATCTGACCATCTGAGCTTCTTCATTCTGTTCTATTAGATTCCAGTGAGACTGCATTTACATCAAAAACACTCAGTAGTAGCTTTGATATTGCTAAAGTTGAGAATCAAAGAAGACACATCCCATCAGCTTCATCAGCACTGGTTATTGGTGGCATCCTTGGTCTCATCCAGGCTGTTTTCCTCATATCTGCCGCAAAACCTCTATTAAACTTCATGGGAGTCAGCTCTGTAAGTACCTATATTGACAGAACAAACCGCTATTAAATGAATTCTTGGCTGTACGCCTTTTACTTTATGTAGTCATTTTCATTCCTTTGGTTTGATTTTCGGTTTCTGCAGGATTCTTCCATGCTAACTCCTGCACAGCAATACTTGACATTAAGGTCACTTGGGGCTCCTGCTGTTCTTCTCTCATTGGCAATGCAAGGGGTCTTTCGTGGATTTAAAGACACAAAAACTCCTTTATATGCCTCCTGTATGCCCATAGTAAAAGTCTTTTGCTCTTCTATTTTCGTAGATAATTGATAATTTTACCTTGTGCTAATCCATTTCTTCCTCTGATCTAATTTAGTGGCAGGAGATGTAACAAACATAGTTTTAGATCCAATTTTTATGTTCATTTTCGGCCTAGGTGTCACTGGTGCTGCCATTGCACACGTCATATCTCAGTAAGTTTCAAACAGTCACCATACATGCACATTGCAGATTATAATTACTAAACTTTGTTCTTTATTATGCTATGACCAGCTGCAAATAATATTACCTTTCTAACATTCTCTTGCTTTTCACACTTGTATGGTGATTTCAGGTATCTTATAGCAGTTATACTTTTTTGGAGGTTGCTGAGTCAAGTTGATCTCTTACCTCCTAGTATCAAACATCTGCAGTTCAGTAGATTTCTTAAGAACGGTAATGTTAATTCCTCATCAACATAGGCTCACTATTCAACTCCTCTAGGTTATTAACTCTTTCCTTCTGTTTGAACCTCAGGTTTTCTGTTACTGATAAGGGTAATGGCTGTTACATTCTGCGTCACCCTTTCTGCATCAATGGCTGCAAGGCAGGGATCAACATCCATGGCTGCATTTCAGATCTGTTTGCAGGTTTGGTTAACAACATCTCTTCTGGCTGATGGTTTAGCTGTTGCTGGCCAGGTTAGAACCATTTTCTTTAATTTCCACAATTCTTATCTCTCAAATCTTTAATAAAGTCAGCATCTTTATGATATATAAATCGCTTGAAAGGGTTTTGAAGTATGTCAAAATGCTTCAGTTTTTAACACATGCCAAAATTTCCTCCTTTGCAGCTTTCTTTAGACTGTAGAGTCATTTTATCACTTTTCATCATGTAAACTGATGAATTAGATGTAAGCTTCAAAGGCCATTTCAAATTATCTGGTGTAATGCTAGGACCTCTTTCCTTTGGGTTTCAGCTTCCAAACAATTTTTCTTTTCTCTTCTATGTAAGGAACACCATTTACTAAAGATTTATAGCTTTGCTGCTCTTTCAGGCAATACTTGCTGGTGCCTTTGCAAGAAAAGACTATGATAAGGCAACAGCCACTGCATCTCGAGTATTGCAGGTTGAGACTTATCATATGCCCCAAAGATCAAATGACCCTTTCTCTATATATGCTCTCTTCATAAGGTCAATCTAATTCTTATTTTGCAGTTGGGATTGGTTTTGGGGTTAATGCTTGCTGTCATGCTTGGAATGGGATTGAACTTCGGAGCAAAATTGTTCACAAAAGATGCCAGTGTCCTCCACCTCATTGGTACAGGCATTCCGGTATGTAATTCGATTTGCCAACAAAGTTTTATTTGTCACTCTCTGTCTCTTCCAACTTCCAACATCCAACCCAAAATATCTCTGGTATTAATAATCATTTCCAAATGTATCAGTTTGTTGCAGGCACCCAACCCCTCAATTCCTTGGCCTTTGTTTTTGATGGTGTCAATTTTGGAGCATCTGACTTTGCATATTCTGCCTGCTCCTTGGTAAGTCTACTAATTATCCATTTTCATGTACCTTATGCTAGTAATACACGTAGATTTCTTGTCACTCCATCATGAATTCATGATTTCTGCTAGTAAATAATTAGAAAGCTGTGAAATGATTTCACTTGTTGATTTAGCAAAACAAACTTACTGTTTTTACTTCTCCAGGTTCTGGTTGCTATTGTCACCATTGTATGTTTGTCCATTTTCTCCTCCAGTCTCGGGTTCTTGGGGCTCTGGATTGCCCTGACCATATACATGAGCCTTAGAGCATTTGCTGGCTTCTGGAGGTAATCATGCATTCCCCTCCAAACAGTTCTAAGTCAAAATTGAGCTTCAGTGCATTTCTTGTTATTGCATCCCCCAGTCTCCCGACGCCCTATGCCCTCTAATCAATCATCTACCTGACATATGTTTACAGGATAGGAACAGGAACGGGGCCTTGGAAGTTCCTCAGGTGCTGAAATGTGGACTTGTTTCCTTGAATTTCTTATCAAGAATACAATTTCGAAAGTGTACAGTCATTTTTACTGCATTCTGTCCGGAGGATATGGTGGTTCCTTAGAAGCCTCCCCATGTTTCTCTGCATAGGAATTTGTTAAAAATACCAGCAAATTTTCATTTCAATAGAAAAAAAATTAAAGAAATAAAGACTCCTCCATATGGATGTAATGTTAAGAAAAATCATAGCAAGTGTAGAATTTATGGTCCAATGCTTTAAATTGAAATCAAACTGCATTCTTAATCATCTGTTACGTATGTAGTTTATTTGACTTGTTGATATAAATGTCTAAGTGAGCCAATAACAGTTTAGTTGACTTAGTGCTTACTAATTTAAAATTTTTAATTTAGAGTTAAAACGAGAAGTTTAAATTTTTATAAGATTAAGTAGTGAATTTTTTGATATATATATATATATATATATATAAAAGCTTAATTGATCATTTTAAAATGGGAACCTCGTTTGATAGTTTCGGATGATACTAAATGAGGTTGTTGTCTTATGGTTTGTATTGTGACGAACTGTAAGATTAAGGCCATAAAAAAGGAGAGGGAGGTGGGCTCAATATCAAAGCCCACCTCTTTTGATGATCTTAATCTTACAGTTTGTCATAGGATGGATTGTAAGATAATTTTTTCATATTAAATTATAAAATATGAATTATTGAATTGAGTGGAGAACATCAATGTCAAAGAGTCTAATCATTGTCCAATAATTAATATAACATGGTTTATTACAATTTAAATTGTATATTGTTTTTTTTTTTTTTGTTTTAAAAGAGCCTAGTCAACGACTTAAATAATTAAGTAATCATCTTCTTTTGTAAGAAGTAAAAAATCCTGAATTTAAGTCATATGGTATGCAGATGGTGTGGGATAAGAGATAAGAGATGATTGCATCTTATTGTACAATAAAAAAAAAATCTAGTATCCATTAGACGCCTGAAAGTTGGGGGGCATGAAAACAAATTTACCCAAATTAAAATGCGTAGGGAAGAGAGTATGTAGACCCAAAAGAAGGCGAATTTAGTATTTAGTGACGCTGATTGGCCCAACCGGCCCAATCCAAAAAACCCTGCAACTCAACTCATAAAAATCTTTAACGGTCGCTATTTTCCATTTTGGCGCTAAATTAAGCAACCGCTGACATGGTGATACCTCTGCATCTAAGCCTCCAGAACCTGCCATTGGTACCCAGAAGCAACCAAATCAAAGCAGAACCAAGAAAGGACTGGAATTCTATTATCAAACATCAAACGAAGCTTAAGAATGACCCTGCAATTCTTTCTTTGTATACCCAGATGGAATGTCTGGGCATAGCCCCTGATGGAACCACTTTGCCCCTGGTTCTGAAGGCATGTGCGCGGCTAAATGCTGTTGAAGATGGAAAGAGAATACATTCCAGTATTAAAAGCACCAGTTTGATTGACAATGTTCGGGTTGGGACTGCTCTCATTGATTTTTATTCAAAGTGTGGGTTTTTGGAGGATGCGCGCATGGTTTTTGATGAAATGCGTGAGAGAGATTTGGTTTCTTGGAATGCTATGATTTCTGGGTATGCAGGTTGTGGTGATTGTGAGGAGGTGATTTTGTTGTTGAAGAGGATGCAAATGGAGGGTTTCAGGCCCAATTCTCGTACTGCTGTTGCAGTGCTTTTGGTATGTGGGGAGGTTGAGGAAGTGAGATTGGGGAAGGCGATTCACGGGTATTGTTTGAGGAATGGATTGTTTGGTTTGGATCCCCATGTGGGTACTGCTTTGGTTGGGTTTTATGCAAGTTTTGATGTTAGAGTTTCGCATCTTGTGTTTGATTTGATGGCTGTGAGGAATACTGTGAGCTGGAATTCCCTGGTTACAGGGTATTTTGAGGTTGGGGATTCCTTGAATGCTTTGAAAATTTTCTTGAAAATGCTGATGGATGGGGTTAAATGTGATTCTGTTACGATGTTGGTTGTTATTCAGGCCTGTGGAAAAATTGGATCTCTTGGGTTGGGCAATCAAATCCATCAAATGGCTGTTAAGTTAAACTACAGTTGCAATATGTTCATAGTCAATGCATTGCTTAATATGTATGGTGAGATTGGAAATTTAGAATCTTCATGTCAGTTATTTGATGCCGTCCACACCTGTGATGTAGCTCTTTGGAATTCTATGTTATCTGCATATATTGACTGTGGCTGCTATGAGGAAGCTACTAATTTGTTTGCTAAAATGCTAGATGAAGGAATCAGCAAGGATGAAAGAACCATTGCTATAATGTTGTCTTTGTGTGCAAAAATAGATGATGGTTTGAGGAAGGGTAAAAGTTTCCATACTTTTGCAAACAAGAATGAGATGAGGATGGATGTTAATCTTGGGAATGCTTTATTAAATATGTACGCAAAGCAACGTTGTATAGAGTCTGCGAAGAAGGTGTTTGAAGAAATGAGTACCATGGATGTCATCTCATATAACACTTTGATTGCAGCTCTTGCCCAGAACGATCTCAGGACTGAAGCATGGCAGCTCTTTGTGTTGATGCAAGTGTCTGAAGTAGAACCCAACTCTTACACAATCGTATCTATTCTTGCTGCATGCCAACACGAAACATGTCTTCATATTGGGAGATCACTTCATGGCTTTGTGATAAAACTAGGCATAGAAGTCAACCTATCACTGAACACTGCACTCACTGAGATGTATATTAACTGTGGTGACAAAGCAGCAGCCAGATACCTATTTGAGAGCTGTCCTAATAGGGACTTGATCTCGTGGAATGCTCTGATTGCCAGTTATATTAAAAACAACCTAGCTGATCATGCTCTCTCACTTTTTACTCGCATGATTTCAGAAGTGGAACCCAACTCAGCTACGGTAGTAAGTATTCTCTCATTATGCACCCTTCTTGCACACATGCCTCAAGGCCAATGCTTGCATGCTTATGTGATACGGCGGAAATCCTATTTTGATTATGATTTGTCTCTTGCAAATGCTTTTATAACAATGTATGCAAGATGTGGTAGCATGTATAATGCAGAAAAATTCTTTAAAATCTTACCAAAGAGAGATATAATTTCATGGAATGCTGTGATAAGTGGTTATGGACTGCATGGTCGTGGTCATGATGCTATTTGTGCCTTCTCACGAATGCTAGAGGATGGTTTTCAACCTAATTCAGTCACTTTCCTATCTGTTCTGTCTGCTTGCAGCCATTCTGGTTTGGTAAATGAGGGACTAAATCTCTTTCATTCCATGGTTCAAGAGTTCCGTATCAACCCCCAGCTTGCTCACTATGGTTGTGTGGTTGATCTGCTTGGTCGTGCAGGCTGCTTAGATGAAGCTAAAGATTTTATCAAATCAATGCCCATAAAACCTGATGCATCAGTGTGGAGAGCACTGCTCAGTGCTTATCGAGATCATTGTGATCCTAAGGAAGCTAAGAGACTTTTTGAAAAAATTGTTGAATTAGAGCCAATGAACCCAGGAAATTATGTCTTGCTGCGTAACATTTATGCTGAAGCCGGCCTCTGGTCAGAGGTCAGACAAATAAGAAGATGGCTCAAAGAGAAGGGCTTAAGAAAGCCCCCGGGAATCAGTTGGATTGTCATTGGAAGCCAGATGAATTGTTTTACTGCTAGAGATAGGTCACACCCTCTGATTGACAAAATTTATGCAAATTTGAGTCATCTGTTATCCTCAATCAAAGAAAATGGATACGTTCCGGATCTTAACTGTGCTTTACGTGATGAAGATGAAGAGGATTAAAATGAACGTTAGGGGCTGTGCAAGGCAAGAACGGTTCTTTTGGTTAAAAACGTTAACTACGATAAACACAGAAGTAGTAAAGGATCCTCCTACTACTAGATATTCATTTCTACAGAAACTAATCTCTCTCACCAACTCCGCACGGGGGCTTGTCATCATCATCATCATCATCTCCATCGCCAACATGAGCGACAGGTTGAGCACCGCCAGCTGAAACGAAATGTCAAAGGCTTCAACCAAAGCAAGACAGAAAATTGTACATTTACTCCCCTATAAACCAAACAATACATTTCTTCGACATCTTTCTCCTAGACACTACTATGTTGCAAATTGTACATTTATTACTCCCTACTAGTTCAATTTGTTGTATGCTGCACATAAATGTCAATCATACCACAGGATTTGATGTGTGAAATTTCTTAGTCCTTACCTCAAGCAAGACAGAAAGAAGCAACATCATCAAATTTGTTCAACACAGATTAAAACCACATTCAATCAGGCAAGCCCTAGCTTCATTAATTCCCTTGTTTTTGAGCTATAGGAGACGGTAGGGAATGATCCTTGTATACAATTTAAGGTTTCTTTTGGGACCAAACTTGAAGGATATATACCTAGACTAATGAAAGAAGGAAGGAGAAAGAATAAAAAGAACAGAAAAGATCTGACAATGAAGTTGAATCCCCTTAGCCAATCTTCTCTGTGTTTGTGTCATCAGAAGGCCATATAACAGTCTCAGTGAGCCGTTCACGCATCAATTCCAAGTTCTCATCTGAGATTTCTTTATATATTTCAGCATGATTGCATTTCTACAACAAAAGGATGAAGAAAGCAAAAGAGTTAGAAATAAAAAAGGAAGAAAAAGTTTCAAGTAAAATTAAAAATGATTTCTCAATTTACCTTAATCCATTTTCCGTAAAGATGAAGACGCGTCACCATTACTCTTTCAGCTAGATCTTGCTTCTCCTGCCAATTACAAGGATGAATTCATAAATTCCTTTCAACCACCTAAAGCTTGGTTGCGTAAGAGTCAAGTAAATTCAATATCAAAAGCTGCAAGCATACCTCAAGTAAGTTATATAATTGTGTAATTAGCTAGCCAGATAAGCAAAACGGAGCATACATAGCTATAGTAAAACTACCTTTCCAAGGATGCGGATGAATCGCTTGCCTTCCCCAGGTTTGTTCATCACCACAAAACTGTTGGAATGATAACCAAAGTAGAATTTAATTTGATAGAATTCACAACAGACAATTTTGTAGCTTGCAACCAAAGCAAGCATACATGTTGCTATCCATGAAATGTTGTTTCAAGCCATTACCATGTCACTTCAATTGTAAACAAACTAGGTGCTATATTTTTCAGAATAGAAGATTGGTGTAGACCAAAATGAGAATCACACTTACTTATAGAACCACCTATATTTTGGTGGATTCATCTCATAGAGCTGGTTAAGCACAGTCCTCACTGCTTTATATGTGAAATAGTTCAGTAGTTGCTGCAATAACAAATATCAATCAAGTCAATACATGTGTTTCCCTTCTTCATATGCTCTATATGGGATGTTAAAAAAAATGAATACTTTGATGAACTTTTCTTACCGTTTTGACATCTTCGAAGCTATCTTCATATTGTCCTCCGAACTCATTTACAACAACAAATTTTCGATCTTTTTTGTGCTTCCTTGAATTCCTACCTGAAATTGTAATTTTTGAAGACAGCTTTCTACCCTGCCATGAATCTATTGACCCTGGCCTTCTCTTCATTGAGTTCCTGGGAGAAACCAATTCCCCACTAGTCTTGAGGCTCATGGTGGTAGTCGGTAGTGCATCCAAACGCAAGCATGGACCAGTATGTGAGTCCATTACTGATGAACCCACCACGGATAAAGCCCCCACCATTTCTCCACCAAACAGAGCACAACAAAAACGAAGGAATTTGCGAACTACTACCAAATACCCAGATAAAGATTATGCCTTTACTTGATTTTTGAAGCTGTAAATCGACAAAAGCAAGAACCCACTGCGGGGGATCAAGTGGGGTGTCCTGTATCCAAGAGAATCTGGATAAACAGGGATGTAAGTGTGACACTGAGAGAAATGAGCAGGGGATGGGTGGGGGTTTTAGAAGTTTAGGTGAAGCATGACCAGACAGTTTTCTGAGGTCGAATTTTTACCACTTGTGTTGTGTTGTGAGGATATCCTTCAGTGTGAACTGAATCTTTAGAATTCGAGTATTAGAAGTGAGTCCCACTTGCAATACTAATGACCGAAATTCGTTTTTGTATTTTTCCATTGGCAAACAAACCATTGAAATTCACAGAATTTCACAGACTCAACACTCAAACGCTCATTTTGACTTTTTACTCAGAGTTTGACGTATACACTCTTGAAGGCGCGTTGCATATGTTTGCTCAAAAATCAGGTGAGAAATCAGGTGAGAATTTTAGATACCTGATAGTTCTACGTACGTTCCGCGTCTGGCAAAAACTTACTTTTGATCCTTTTGGACTTTTATATTACTAGGTTTATGGATTTTAATTTTTTATCTTATATTATGATATTTTTAATTTTTTATTTATTAAAATAAAAAAAATAACTTTTATTTTATAATGTTTTGTCTATTCTGTTAACTAATTGTTAACTCTATTAATTAACTGAAAATAGGTTTTTATTAGTTAACAGTCATCTAATAGAATAGACTAATAAAATTAACAGTTAATTAACAAAACTAATAAAATATTATAAGTAAGGGTTATTTTCTTTAATTTTAATAGGTAGGAGGTTAAAAGTATCATAATATAAAGTAAGAAACTAAAATTTATAATTTTAATAAGGTAAAGGGTTAAATTATGCTTTTGCCCTCTTATATTTTGGGTAGGGTTGTTATATTTTAAATATGAGTGTTTATATCCAATCCAATTCGATTAATCCAACCTAAACTGATCCAATTCAATAAAAAAAACAATCCAAATCGATATAAAATTAGATTGGTTTGAATTCTAAAATTTTAAAACTGATATAATTAGTTTGATTTGTAATTTTACTTTCAAACCGTCTGAACTAACCGATTACAAAATAAAATTTGATTAAAAATAATTTAATTAAATAGTATAACATATTTTTTTGTAATATTTTAAATTTTCTTTTTCTTACTTTACAATATAATAACTCCATTAACTTAATTAAAAAATAAAAATAAAACATCTATATATTCCCTAAGTTATTTTTCCATTTTAATCATG